CATTTCCAGTATCAAGTCGCAGTGTGATGAGCTGAGGGTTCCCCGATGGGACAGAAGACAGGTCCACAAATGACTATAATGCAAAGTGGGAGTTGCACATGCCACAAGAAAGAAGCAAACGTGTCAAGCAAAGTTCACACAAGGGAGAAAAAATAGACGGCTAAGTTGTCTTCATTGTAATGAGTGGCACCACTAGACATTTGGAAATGAATAAGCTGGTCAGCAAACCCACTAGCAGAATATTTCAATCTGAAAAATACTTTACAGAGTTGGAGGTACCACATGTAAGCCACTTCATCCTGTTTACTCATTGTAAAAGAAATTAGCCAGGCGAGGTGGCTCACGCCTATAATCCCAGTTTTTTGGGAGGCAAAGGTGAGAGAACTGCCTGAGTCCAGGGGTTCAAGACCTGCCTGGGCAACTAGGCAAGACCTCATCACTATAGTAAATCAAAACATTTAACCAGGTGGTGCGTGCCTGTGTCCCAGCTACTTGGAAGGCTGAGGCGGAAGGATCGCCTGAGTCCAGCAGGTTGAGGCTGCAGTGGCTGTGAGCATGCCACTGCACTCCAGCCTGGGTGACAGTGAGACTCCCAACTCAAAAAAGAAAAAGAAAGAAAGAAAAAGATTCCTGACAGAATCTTTACTAATTGAAAAAATAAAAAACTGCTAAGAATACAAGGAGACATCACTGGGGAAAAAAGAAGATAATGTGAGAAATATTTGCTCATGCTGTTTTGCCTTTGACAGAGGTACTTCCAAAGGTGCTTGGCTTTCTTAGTTACACTATTCCCACTCCTCTATTATTACTATTCACACCACTGGTTTTATTTGTATGGTATAAGTATTTGGTTCTTTCTGCCAGTATTTACCAGAGTGGGGAATGAAACTGACCTGATTGCTACTCTCATGGATCAGTCACACAGACAGCTACATTATCAGCTGGGCCACACGATAGGAAGGAAAAGTACAAGGGGCCTTCATGCCAGCAGGTGCCAAGGACATCTTTCCCAAAGGAATGGCACTCAAGGGAGGCTTGAAGGATGAATAGGAATAAAGCTAGTGAAGAGGGTTGGGGGTGGAAGTATCTCAGGAAGAGGGAACAGCATGTTCTACGGATGAAAGGCAGGGAGGAACATGGTGCAGAGGAGGAGAGAGAGGAGATCATATAAAGTTTGAGAGATTGGTAGGAGCTGCATCACAGTCTTGAAGGACATGTTCAACATCTTGAATTTCATCCTAACAGCAAAGGGTTTTAAGCAGGGAAGTGACATGTTGATGCTTACGCTTAATCTGTTACTTAGGCTGCTACTGGGAGCCAAGATGGCCTGGTTTGCACCAGGAGGCTGTGAGGAGAAAGGCTGGGAGATTCTCATCCACAGTCCAGGGGGAGGTGGGCGGTGCCCTGTCCTGAGTAGCGGCAGTGGGGCCAGTGAGCAGAGGTGGCTCAAGGCATGCTTTGGAAAGGGAGACCTGAGAGCTTGGCGACAGGAGGGAAGATGGAGGAAGAGCAGACCCAAAAGCCTGGAGCTGAAAGTCAAGTTTGAAGAACCTGGGGATGTCCAAGAGGAGACACCAAGTTGGAGGGGACAATCAGGCTTGGAGTGCAGAAGAGAGGTTTAGAGACAGAAATGGAAGGACCTCTGACCTGTAGGTGAAATCTGGAGTCACTGGGGATAGGTGGGGGTGCAGAGAGGAGGGAAGGGGGGACAGAAAAGAGACTTAGCGACTAAGGATCAAACCCTGAGATCGTCAGTGTTTCGCCTTCTTGCAAGAGCTCTGTTTCAGGCATAAACATCTGCATGTCAAGCTAGGGATCACACCTCACTAGCATAATGTATTCTAATCTTATATTCAAGTAAGAACCCACAGATACTCAGTTTTAAATGTCTGTACATAGCCCACACTGACATCATTCAGGGGAGACATGAAAGACATAGGGTCCCAGTCGCCAGCATAGAGCAGCAGCCACAGGGACAAATCTGTTTTCTGTTGTAAAAGTTACACAAAACGCTATCTTTTAGAGAAGGATGCTGCTACCGAGACTGGGCTGTTTTTCAGCCTCTGTAACTGATGGAACTGACAGAAGGATCTGAGTTAGAAGGATAGTCAGCCCGCTGGAAATTCCAAACATCAGAAGATACACACAAGCAGGCCAAGACCTTGCCCTGGGGTTGTGGAAGAGACCTGGTGGAGCCGGATGAGTCCCGGTGAGGGACACAGGTACCCCAAATCCTCAAGGGAGCATCCCTCCCATTTTCAGGCCAATTTCCTATGACTGTCACAAGGCGGGTCATGTGTCCCTCCTGTTTTCAGCCTGAAAGGAGAAAATCTCTGAAATATAAAAGCCGTTTAAATTTAAAAGTATACATGTTTTTCCTTGTCCCCTCTTCACTGTCCTTGGATCTAGTAACTGTTGCTGGTACTAAAAAAAAACACAACCATCTTCATTGAGCCCCCTGATAAGCAGGAGACACACACAAAGGACTGCAGGTCCCTGAAAACGCCTCCACCAGACCCAGATAACAAATGGGCTATTAAAACCTTCTAACACCCAGAAATCTCTTAGTCTCTAAATGACAAATGCTTTCTTTCATGTGTTTGTATTTATTTTATGCATTATTAAGCCTTGTAAACTGAAACTCCCGAAATAAACAAAAACTATAACCAACTAAAACATATACAGCCCAAATTGTTCAAGGCATTTGTGCTTCTGGCCTTACTGTATCATTATCAGTTTACTGAAGTCAGTCTCCTGCTCACCACCTGGAGTCATGAGATGCTGGTGCCTGGTGATGTTAAGACACAAGACATATGTGACTTCTACTTTCAACATCAAAAAATTAAACTCTGGACATTCTTCCCAGCCCAAACTTCCCTTCAAGAGCCTTAAATATACTCAGGAGCCCAGCCTTCGGGGCCACACTTGCCTCTGAGTGTCAGCCCCCCTTTTCATCTGTGAAAGGTAAATAATAAACTTTACTTTCTTCTACTTCGTACTTGGTTACAATCTTACATTATTCCCACAACACCAGCCCTCCTTGCCTCAGTTTACCCTTTCACAGTCCTATTTCCTGCGACTGCCAAAAGATAGGTCGTGCATCCCTTCTTGTTCTCAGCCCTAGTTCCTATGACTGCCCTCACATGCCTTCTGCTCCTGGCAAACCAATCTCTGCTTTCTCATCCCCGGGTCTCTCTGTTCATGACCCGCAGTGTGCCTGCCCATACCTCCATGTGATGTAGACCTTTCAAAATCTACCTCTGATGCCACTCAGACTCTTCCTTTTTTTTCTTTTTTGTTTTTTTTGAGTTGGAGTCTCACTCTGTTGCCCAGACTGGAGTGCAGTGGCTGCTCCTGGCCACTGCAGCCTCGATCTGCTGGGCTCCGGCGATCCTTCCGCCTCAGCCTTCCAAGTAGCTGGAACTACAGGCGTGCGCTACCACACCCAGCTAATTCAGGTGAAAGTGAGTCCTCCCTTTTCAAACCTCCCACAACCAGCCCTTCGCCTGTCTGTCAGCACTTTGTGCTGTCCACCTGAAGCTACAGGTATCTGGATACACCACACATTCTGTCTAGGCTAGAAGTCCCTAGAAGGCAGCAGCAGTGTCTAGTTTGTTTACATTCCAAGTCACTACAAAAAGCAGAGCCTGTCTTGTTCTGACACAGTAAAAGAGGAGCGCTTTTACTGAGATATTTCTTTTCTGTTATGATTTAGAGGATGATAGTGTTTGGTGTTGTGAGAAGGGAGCAGGAAAACATTTGCCTATTTCTTTCTTTCCTTTTTTTTTTTTTTGAGTTGGGATTTCATACTGTTTCCCAGGCTGCAGTGCGGTGGCATGATCATGGCTCACCACATCCTCAACCTCCTGGACTCAGGCTATCCTTCCTCCTCAGCCTCCCAAGTAGTTGGGACTACAGGCGCGAGCCACCACGGCCAGCTAAATTTTTCATTTTTTGTAGAGATGAGGTCTCACTATGTTGCCCAGGCTGGTCTCGAACTCCTGGGCTCAAGCAATCCTCCCATCATGGCCTCCCAAGGTACTGGGATTACAGGTGTGAGTCACCATGCCTGGCCACTTTCTCCCGGACTGAGCTGTTAGCTCTGCGGAATGCCTAGAACTTGTAGCATATCCAGAATCCTAAGTCACTGAATAAAGGAGCAAGAGACAAGGCGGTGGCATCTTTTTAATTAATGGCCATTATCCCCAAATCATGAAAACGTGAATACATCTTTTAAACCTTTTGCATGGCCTCAGATGGCCACACTTGCTGTGAGCAGGGACTGAGGACAACAATCCCATGGTCGTTCACCCTGCTCTGGGCCGGGTAACCTGTTCAGCCTCCTCCTTCCCGGGGGCCTTGTCCCTCTTCCTGCACCTTACCTCTAACAAGCATTAGGATGTTTTAACTGCTAGGGGTCTCCTGGTGGCAGCTTATCTTACAGAGATCTAGCGACATTTAAAGCTTCATAGTGGAAGTAAAATCCAAGTCAAAACGTTTTAGTGTAAAAGTAAACTCCACTGTAGGAGCAGAGAGTAAAATAGCGGTTGCCAGGGATGGGAGAGTGGGAGACATGGGGAGACACTGGTCAAGGATACAAAGTTTCAGTTATGTGGGATGAGTAAGTTTCAGAGATCTAAAGGGCAGCAGTGTGACTACAGTCAGTACTATATAGGACACTTGGAATTTCTTAAGAGAGTAATCTTCAGATCTCCACAACAACAGAGTAACTATAGGAGGTGATACACTGCTAATTTGCTTGATTGTGGTGGTCATTTCACAATGTATGTGTATACCAACCACAACATCATGCTGTACATCTTACATATATACAATGTTTATTTGTCAATGATACCTCAATAAAGATGGAAAAACTAAAATAAATGAATTACATTTAATGAAGAAACAAAACTTCTAACGTACTGAAGTCTGTGGTTCATATTTTGAGCCTGAATAGTACCAATAAGACAATCGCATTCATTGTCAAAGTCTGGACTTACCTCTTTGGTAACAGAAGGAAGCAGTGATGCCAAATTACAGAACTTGAAAGCATTCTCTCTTTCCTCAAGATCAGTATAACACTGGAGATGAACAATAATCAATATTAAAGATAATCACGTTTTTATGAACTGGATTCAAAGTGATCTTAGAACAGTGGCTCTTCATTACCTTTGCCAAGTACATGTAATTGAGCTTAGAATAGCCAGGGCGTAGCTCTTCAGCCTGATTTAATAGAAAAAAACAAGAGGGTAATATCAAAACAACCACAAGTGAAGAAAATTTATTTCAATAAATCAAATATTATTAACCACCTTGTCCTAAGAATTTAGGTTGGTTGTTTCACATTTCAATCATTTTATCTGTTTAAGTGTATTTTAGGTAGAAACATAGCTTTTGTTAGGCATTATAAAGCAATGAGATACTTGAAGGTTTTGAGACTCCTTTATATAATCATTTTCCTCATTCCTCTTTCTTGTTTATTATTATTATTACTATTATTATTTTATCTTAAAGATGTGGGGTCCAATTCAGGACTAGGTACATAAGTGGTCAATATCCAGGTGAAGTCTGGGCCTCCCACTGGTCCTCATTTAGTCTGGTTTAGAATCAGGTACGCTTACTGATGCTATGTGCTCCCCTGCCCCGCCCACTTTTCTTGTTTCAAGAACAGAAACAACTGGCGAGGTTCCCTCCCCAGGACAAGTCCCATACATTTCACCTTCTGTCTAGGAAACGAAAACAGAGTGTATCTGATGCTCCACGGTAAGCATTTTCCACTAGATTAACATCTGATTTCTTATGATTTCAACACATTCTGTAGGTGGTAATAATATTTGAAGTACATCACATCAAGTACTTTGAAAGGAAGGACAGATTCTTGAAACAACTAGTCCAGGTGGAAGACATATATCAGATTACCTAGGTAGTATTCTCCTCATCTTTTATGTACCAGTTCCTTTTCTTTACCTCTGGGAAATAAGAATTCCTTCATATATGTGGTCTTGCCATGAGAGAACTCATCTTAGAACCTAAGTCCATCTTTGCTTCAGTGCCAGGTCTTACTGCTAGGAAGGCCGAGGCAAGCCATCTCCAAACCTGACACCAGTCCGCAACCCAGATGGACACAGAACCCAAGAGAAGAGGGCACTTTTAAAAATTTACAAAAAATATGCTTGTCTTACCAGACACACACAATCTGGGCATTTCCAAAATTAAAAAGTAAAAGCTTCTCTCTAATTTTATTCTCAACTTCGATCTCATTCCCTAGGGGTAACCACCACTTTCAACAGTTTGACATATATCCTATCAGACTTGTTGCCAAGTCTGATAAGCAGAAAAAAAACTGACAATTGGTTATTGGGAAGAAAAAAAAAAGAAACTTAAAATGGAACCCTTTTCTACATATTGGCCCAAAACATTTTTTTTACAAGGTATCACAAATACGTTTTCATGTTAGCACACACACATATACCTTACTGTTCCTACGAGTTGCATTTCATAGTATGGATATAACATAATTAAATTAAGCATTCCCCATTGGACATTTCTATTTATTCTCAGTTTTCACTGTTATTAATAATGATCAATGAATATACTTGCCCCCATATCTTTGTGTATACCGTATGTCTATAGGAGAGACTTCTAGGAGTTGAATTGCTCAAAGGATATGTATGTTTTAAAGATAAACACTTATGAAGGGGAACCCAAGTTAGGGTGCTGAGGAGTGGTCTACCATCTTAAGAAAGCACATCCGTTGTAAAATACATTATATTCTCCAAAATCCAAGGGAGAAGGGCCTAGGGAAAGAAGGACAAGGTGTCCTGGGGTGGGGAGCCCGACTGGGTAGAACCCTTTGAGAACACACAGGTGAACAGTGTCTGGATCTGGTGTGGAACCAGCCAGAGAGACAGCAAATCTACCAACAGACTAAAGGAAGTTGTTCAGGTCAGTCCTAGCCAGAGCCTTGAACGTCCCATAGAGCCGCCCATGGTGCTGATGAATTCTGGTCCTCCTGCTGCTTCTTTCACCTCTAATCATTTCCATGTCAATGCTCTTAAGTGCATTTCTTGAGCTTTTCTAATACGAGGGACTTGGACTGAACTTTGTTCAATTATACCTTCTTCTATGTCCAGTAGTTGCCCCAGCCTGTACAGATAAGGAGCTTTTCTCTTTAATACTGGCACTTTAATTCTGCATGTATACCTTAACACCTATGTTTAATTAACCCAAGTGATTATAAATCAGAACACTTCTTTTTGTTCCCATAGTTAAAGAAAATGAACTCCAAAGGAACACGGACAGGCCACTAACAGCACTGAATCCCTAAAGTAGAACAGATTCTGACCTCCTGCCAAAGACTGTAGATGAATTTCAAGGAGGGCAGCATTATTCAGTGGAATGCTCCAGTGACAGGGTGGTTTCTAGAGAGGCTCTTAGAACACTCTATCAGAACACCTGGCAAAGGCTGCCCAAGTTCCCCGAAGGCAGGAGCCGTTTGGTCATTTCTGTGTTCCCAGCGTTTGAAAACTCTGTTTGGCACCAGATATGTGCTTAATAAGCACCATGAATAAATTGGTTTTATTTTAAAACATCTCAAGTGGCAGCCTTCTACCATATCAGGATACAGCAGAGAGCTCTGCAGCTGGTGAAGTCACTAGCAGAGATTCAGGGATCATATGACTCGCCCAAGGTTCATCAGCCGGTAAGTGGTAGAGCTGAGCTTTAACTGGGTAGTCTAGTTCCAGAACTTGCACTCCTTACCTCTACATTACAGTGCCACTTCTCACTACTGATCTGATTTCTATATCATTTCATGAACTTTGGCATCTTGTGAACTTCTGTACAGTGTTCTGAAAACCCGATCCCCAATCATAATTTCATTGTGAAGAAATGAATTTCAAGTTCAAATAAGATTTTTGCTACTTAACTGGCAGCTTTTATCTATATCTTTTATCTTAAATATACCATGATTCTTATCAAATTTAAACTCATTTTCAGTGGCAGGAAAAAGGTGAAGAAGCAGGGATGATGTGGTCTTTGACTTTACTCCTATCTTAAATCAAATCTGTGATTGCCAGTGTGTGAAATGGAACAGATTAAGTTCCTGAGGTCTTGATTCCATTTTTAAAAAACAAAAAAGATCACACTAAATAAAAAATAAGAAACATATGACCCTTGTGTTTTTACTGCCTGCACTCTTTTCTGCTGGGCTTGTGCTTGACTTCAGAGCACTTGTATTTTCTTTTTTTTTTTGAGTTGGAGTCTCACTCTGTCTCCCAGACTGGAGTGCAGTGGCC